TCAGTTACATTAGTCCTTTTCAGGTCAGATTTAAAATCTTGTTTTGCTTTGAAACGTAAGTAAATTTAGTTTTCTCTTGAAATTTGTGTTTTATTTAAGCTAGCATATAATCTTGAAACATCAACATTTTGATTAGCACATGCTTTTAATATGCATTTATCTCTACATTATATATATTTACTAGGCTGTTTTGAAATCCTTTTTGTAATATTTGTTAAAACTGAATTTAAGTCAATGGCTTGCAAATTCACTCGTTTCTATCCTATCGAATTTGTAATTTCTTTTTTAAGGAATTCACTCCAAGCAAGCCGTGAGTGCCACTAGTATGTAATGACATGCAATGAGTGTAAGACATAGAAACGACTGGTCATTAGAGGGTTAGGAAAGGATAAAAAGATGAATAGAGGTGGATAAAGAGAAGAAAAGTGATGAAGGCAAAATAAGATGTCGATTTACATTAAATTTTAATTATGGTGGCGCTTCCCAGATTTTAATTAATTGTTTTGAACCATTTTTAGGTTGCAGTCTTTCAAAACTTTCTTGTATAATCCTCGTTTGTCGACTATTGTTTAAGTACACAACTACAGAATTAGATTCATATTCAGTGACATTTCGCCGACGGACATTTCGCCCAACGGACATTTGGCTGACGAACATTTAACCAAAGGTCATTTAGCAGAAAATGTAGTATCTTACATGTATATCACTTTCTTTACTGTAATGTGCTATATATGTTTTTATATATTTACTGCATTTATTCTGTGTATAATATATTTTACTTCAAATATTAATGTAAGATGATAAGTATTTTGAGAAAAACATATTCTCCTACTACAAAAATCTTAAGCTTTAACGATATGAATTTCGCTTTTAATGATCATTATCTCAAAGTAGGTGCTCCTTTTTAGCCAAATACAGTCAAATATTTTTAAAAATATTAATTTCAATGAAAACAGAAAAGTTTTAACTTTAAATTTAGACTTAGTAATTTATTCACTTGGAATTCAGTGTTAACTATAATCCAATTCTACTTTATAACACTGCTAAATAAATTACTTAAAGTAGTGCTTGTTAATATTAGTTTTTCGGTGAAATGCCCGTCGGCCAAATGTCTCACGACCAAATGTTCGTCGGATAACAGTTTGTTGGCTAAATATCCGTCGACCAAATATTCGTCAGCCAAATGTCACTCGACCTAATGTCTGTCGGCCAAATGTCCGTCGAGTAAAGGTTTCTTGGCCAAATATCCGTCGACCAAATATCCGTTGGCCAAATGTCTCTCGGCCAAATATTCGTCGACCAAATATCCGTCGACCAAATATCCGTTGGCTAAATGTCTCTCGGCCAAATGTCCGTCGGCCAAATGTCTGTCGGCCAAATATCCGTTGGCTAAATGTCTCTCGGCCAAATGTCCGTCGGCCAAATGTTCATTCAGCAAAATGTCCGTCGGCCAAATATCCGTCGACCAAATATCCGTTGGCCAAATGTCTCTCGGCCAAATGTCCGTCGGTCAAATGTTCATTCAGCAAAATATCCGTCGGCCAAATATCCGTCGACAAATATCCATTGGCCAAATGTCTCTCGGCCAAATGTCCGTCGGCCAAATGTTCATTCAGCAAAATATCCGTCGGCCAAATATCCGTCGACCAAATATCCGTTGGCCAAATGTCTCTCGGCCAAATGCCCGTCTGCCAAATATCCGTCGACCAAATATCCGTTAGCCAAATATCTCTCGGCCAAATGTCCGTCAGCCAAATGTTCATTCAGCAAAATATCCGTCGGCCAAATATCCGTCGACAAATATCCATTGGCCAAATGTCTCTCGGCCAAATGTCCGTCAGCCAAATGTTCATTCAGCAAAATATCCGTCGGCCAAATATCCGTCGACAAATATCCATTGGCCAAATGTCTCTCGGCCAAATGTCCGTCGGCCAAATGTTCATTCAGCAAAATATCCGTCGGCCAAATATCCGTCGACAAATATCCATTATTAAATGTCTCTCGGCCAAATGTCCGTCAGCCAAATGTTCATTCAGCAAAATATCCGTCGGCCAAATATCCGTCGACAAATATCCATTGGCCAAATGTCTCTCGGCCAAATGTCCGTCGGCCAAATGTTCATTCAGCAAAATATCCGTCGGCCAAATATCCGTCGACCAAATATCCGTTAGCCAAATGTCTCTCGGCCAAATGCACGTATGCCAAATATCCGTTGGCCAAATATCTCTCGGCCAAATGTCCGTCAGCCAAATGTTCATTCAGCAAAATATCCGTCGGCCAAATATCCGTCGACAAATATCCATTGGCCAAATGTCTCTGCGCCAAATGTCCGTCGGCCAAATGTTCATTCAGCAAAATATCCGTCGGCCAAATATCCGTTGGCCAAATGTCTCTCGGCCAAATGTCCGTCGGCCAAATGTCTCTCGGCCAAATGTCTCTCGGCCAAATGTCTGTTCGGCCTAATAGTCTCTCTGCCAAATGTCAGGTCACGAAACTTTTAATGTGTATCTCCAGTGCCATTTGTAGCCATTTGCTAATTGACCGATGGTGAGATTACTCAAACCTATACGGGGAAAACTTTAAAATAATTATCGAAACATTCATGAGACTATCTTTTGTCTTTTGTCAATAGCCTCATATAAAAATAAGTTGAATTTTAACATGTACGCCTTTGTACATTTCCAGAGATTCAATTATTTATACAAAACTAGCAAGAGGTTCTTTACAATCAGGAGCTGGAGATAGAGTATGCTCACCTGGAACCATTTACAAAAATGTTTTTGTATCTACAGGAACAATTTTACAGTGTCTGATCTGTTTATGTTTACATTTACTTAAATCTGTTCGAACATATAAGCAATGTATAGAATTATTTTTTTCGCAGAATTATACTTATTTTGAGAATGTTATGTGTACATTTTTTTGTTTAGTGCTTCAATGTACTGGAATTGTCAGCGAGACAATATTTTTTCTAATAAAATGGTTCGAATATACAAGTCGATAGAAGAAAATAAATACTGTTTAATAAAGAAACCAAACGTCTACTGAAATACGAATGTTCTCTAAGAACGTTTAAATAATAAAATTTGAAGAATTACTAAATAAAAAAAAATCATTCCTTTCTTTAAAATTAAAAATCAAAAAGTAGTATGCACTGATTTTTAATAGTGAAAAATATGAAGTTGAATGCGAGTAAACTCAGAATAAGGGTAGAAAAAGCAAAAAGAAAATTGGCATCATACCAGTAAGGCGATGAGAACTAGGCAAAAATTGATTGTAATTCCTAGTATAGGAAGATTTATCCGAATCTTGATGTGAGAATTATCAATAGTTAAAAAGAGGTAACTTGGATCTTATTGTAAGGAAAAAGAATTGCACAATAGATGGGTACTGCCGGGCTGAAAATATAATTTATAAAGCTACAATAAGTGCAAATGAAGAGAATAATATACTGAAAAAATTTATATATATATATATATATATATATATATATATATATATATATATATATATATATATAATTAAAATACTATCAAGCTATATGTGAGATTAAAAAAATATATGACGTACCCAATATAGTAAGTGGGAGATAATGAAAGAAACATATAATTTATAACAGCAAATACTATTTATCCAGAGCTATTTAGATTATTAAAGATAAATTGGATATTAATCAAAATATATAAATACAATGAATTATTCACTGGCAAAAATATATTAATGAAAATGTACTACATTTTAGTTGCTTCCTGTTTTTCTATACAAGGCTGTGATACATGTTCCACTTTTGGTTACGTGGTAGCAAATCTATACTATAGCTTATCCATAATCCTTAATCTACAGCTTCACGAGGCGTCGCTACTATTAGCTTTTATTAGAGTGCAGAGGTTTCATTAAAGAAATGGTATCTCATTACATATATTTAGATTATTATTACAGTTTTGCTTAAATGATTCAGACAGAAAAATACTTTTTTTCCTGGTAGGATATAAAAATTATTTTACTATATACTTAAATATGTGAAGACCCAGGAATATTCTTTGTTTACCATTCGTAATAAAATTTTTCTGTTGCTCAGACCATTTTTCTGGTTTCTGAGGAATAAAAAAACCTGCACATATATTTGCCAATGTCTGCTAAACGCAGAATGCATTCTTCAGACATTATCAGCGATTTTTTATTACCTGTTGTCTATGAATATATATATATATATATATATATATATATATATATATATATATATATATATATATATATATGTGTGTGTGTGTGTGTGTGTGTGTGTGTGTGTGTGTGTATGCATGCATGTGTGTGTATGTGCGTATTTAATCGAAATCATCCCATGTGGAAGAATGGCAAAGTTAATAATGAGTAGGAAGAGAAGAGAGTAATTGAGTGGACAGTAGATAGCGATTGACATTGCATTTAAATTTTAGCAGATTCGTCTTGGAAAAAATGGGTCCGGAATTTAGTTCCACAAGACAGAAGTGGGAGAGAAGAGACTGTTACGATGACATCTAGCCAACTCAAATGTAAATTGATGCGACATGCAAAATTTAATTCATTTTGATTTATTTTTCTAGCATAATTACATTTTCAAGTTTGTTTGGACTAACGGAGTGAAAATGGTATTCATTGTCTGAAGCGCTTTCGGCCACTTCTTTAACCTTTTCAAATGGGTTCATTTAGATGTTGATAAATTCGCTTCATGTTTGACTATCTAATATATAATTTTTATAGAATTTTATATTCTGAATACTAGAGTAGAGTGTATATATATATATATATATATATATAAATATATATATATATGTGTGTGTGTGTGTGTGTGTGAAAAATATAGTTATATGCTACATTTATTTGTAAAAGTGGTCAATATTAGATATATAACAATTAGAAAAGTCGATATTGAAATCAATGATAAGCGGCGAAGTTTTGTGTAATATTTCAAAGTAATTTACAACCCAACAACTAACTATACGTTTTTGTTAATTCTCAAATACCTAGTCATCACGTGCTGGTAGTTGCGATGTCATTTTCATCAACAATCGAAAATTCAAGTGTCATTTTGTCATTTGATAATCTTATGTTATATATATATATATATATATATATATATATATATATATATATATATATAAAATAATCGTTAAATTTATGCATGAAGTGTAAACGTAATAGTGGTCAATACGCTTATACAGAGCAAAGATATGTATTAATTAGTACATATACGCGTACCTACGATTTTGGCGTGCGACTATAGTTTTGCTGGGGTGTTCCCAGTTCCTCAGCCACGGGGTCTATATATATATATATATATATATATATATATATATATACTTTAAAATCAGGAGGTCAGTTGAATTCGATACCTTGGTTTCAACCATAAGTTACCTAAGGCGATTTTTTTTCAAATATCCACCTAAGACACTTTTTATTTTTTTAAAACTGAATAAGGCTACAATATAGTTTTAAAAAATAAATAAACACACACACGACGCCTGAGGATACCGTAAGGTAGGAAATTCAGCTGATTTTTTTATTTTTAAAGTAAAAAAAAAACGGTACATGTTATTTTTACTGCTGTTTATTTTACACGTGTGTCCATCGATTTTAATATCACTTTTTTCCTGGTCTGATTCAATTCTGATTAACCTTTCATATGGGTATATATATATATATATATATATATATATATATATATATATATATATATATATAATGAAATGGACAAACAATTATTTTTAATATATTTATTGTTTTACACAACAGGAAATGAAACTGAACCCTACACGGAACAGTCATATGGACTGACGTGCTATACCTTTTACTTACAGAGGAAGCGGCAAGTTAGCAATTGAATTACTGCTTTTAAAATTAAAATTTCTCATGTCTCGAACGTACATATCTGCTCGAAAGTGTCATATCAGTCCAAGATTCCAGTCGGGGGAGACATATTTTCTATGAAATTTTCCGGACATTCGCGCCAGCAAATGTTGTTAATGTTTATTACAAACACGGTATTTACTATAAAAATAACGTATAAACAATAAATATATTAAAATAAATGTCTAAATAATAATAATATTAAAATAATAATTTAAATATTCTACTCTTGCGGATAGATTTTTTTTTAATCCTGTGGCAGTGGAGACTTCTGGGGTTATTGGCCGTCGTTCGATGGCGTTCCATTGGAGGATTGGCGGGATGGCGTCTCGATTAAGGGACGAGCCTCGCGAAACGGAGTGGCCCTTGAAGCGTGTCTCACTGGCGATGGTTCGAGGTAATGCTTTCTCCATCATTGCGGCTGGCAGAGGATAGCAAAAAAAAAAAATGGTTTATAGTTTCTGGAATTGTCATCTATGGTCAACTGAACATGCTTTGTTTCAATAAATATTGCATGTTTAAAAAAAAAATAGTCGGACTTTGTTCATTTCGTAATGTGTGACGTCATTTCTTTAGAATAGAATAGGAAATTGTGGAGAGTCATAACTATATATATGTAATAGTAGTAAAATTCTTTTCATCATGAAAAGGTGTCAGATGCTCTATATTTTCAGGATCACAGGCGTTATCAGAATGTAGAATCTTTTCAAAATTCTCTTTCATATTCCCATTAAACGCATCCGTGTCTTCGATCAATTCAATATCCAGTGCTGAAGGAAATCAAATCTCAGAGAAACCAAACTTAAGTTAGCAACTACCCCGTTGCAACAAATGGGGTGTACCGTTGTTATCCGAGTAATCTGGATGACAGGGCAATGTTTGGATGTGGATCATCGGTACGCGTATATTCACGTACCCTGAAATACAAAATTATATATAAAAAAAAAAGATGGGAGTAAAGTACTGGAGGAAAAAAGAAATGTGCGTAAAAGTCGGTTATCGGCGCAAAATGGCGAAACGGCGGGACGAGATTAAAATCTGAATAACTGTTTCGCTTTTATTTCACGCTAATCCCTTTCTGAATGTTACGCATCCATTTCCAATCCCCTCTATGAATTAAATATTCGCGAAAATTGAGCCACCTAATGTAGACATTCATACAGATTATGAATTTAAATACCGGATAAATACAAAGGATATCATTGCCATGTATTTCCCAACATAATAGAACAATTCACTGATATTAAAAAAAATAAACCCGTATCGAGACAAGACCAAATACGTCCTGAGGTGATATATTAAACATATTACACGATTGGTAATGTTTAGATAAAGAATGTATGAGCAAAGGTAAAATATTTTTATGTTGGATCAATAAATTTGTAACCTGAAATTCGTTATGATTTGAATTTGGATATCAAATTACATCGTGCTGTATGTGATTTCGTGTCTTTTGCGTGGTAATTAAGTTTTTTTTTTTTTTTTCAAAATGCCGCCATTTAATTGAACGACCGAAGGATAAATAGGTTGGAAAGAAAACGATTACAAGATTATAAAACTGATGTAACCAGTTTTTTTTCTTTCTTTTTTTAAATATAGGCAGGCCGAGGACATTATGGCTCCGCTTCGAACAACAAGTTTCAAATTCGATCCAGTCTATTGAGAATGAATTCAGTTTACAAACTCTGAACATTAATATCTATCTATCTATCTATCTATCTCAGCCTGTTCATTTCTTTTTATAGCGACCTATATATATATATATATATATATATATATATATATATATATATATATATATATATATATATATATTATTTATGTGTGTGTGTGTCTGTTTCCACATATAACTATCTCAAAATTTCGATGTCTATCTCTCTCCCTCTCTCTCTCTCTCTCTCTCTATATATATATATATATATATATATATATATATATATATATATATATATATATATTTCAATAAGTCCCTATGTATATTTCAATGTTTTCACATTTATCTATCTATCGTTTTGATGTACATTGGATGTTAATAATTGAATATTACTCAAGACTTCGATGTGAAAATAAAGCAATATTTAAGTACAACCGAAAATAAATACTTAACAAGAACAAAGAAGTGAAAGTCAACCAAAAATAATTAACGATTTCAGTAAATACCTTCTTAGTAGCGCTGCTCAACTTATTATCCGGTAATTCTTAAATAAAATCCCACATCATCGACGCACAATATTTCACACGAATTCGACTGAAACGTTCCAATCAATAATCACTCAATAATTCCCTCAGTCTGTATCTGACATGACTATTTATACACATGCCTAAACATTTATTCATAAATACAGAGTGTCACGTTCGAACCTCGGTATCGGTAGCTACTCATTTTCTTCCTATATGACACTATCTATCTAAATCTTTCCCTATCTATATATCTTACTATCTACCCGAATTTGTTCCTATCTTTATATCTATCTATCTCTCTATCTATCCGTCCCAAACATTTCCTATTTATCGATCTATCCCAATCATTTGCTTTCTATCTATCTATCTATCTATCTATCTATCTATCTATCTCTGTCTATTTCAATCTTTTTATAACTAACTATTTCTAACAATCTTTTCATGACTAACTATCTCTCTCAATCTTTTCATATCACTAGGAGAACTAAGAACAGATATGGCAACGGTATACAATACAGAAACCAATTTATAAATTTCCAGTATGGATCCTTACGAGAATATATATATATATATATATATATATATATATATTCGCCCCTCTCCTGTCAGTGAAAAAGCTGACGCAAAGCAGGCATAGTGTGTTGTTCAGCCAGAGTTTTGCCTCACCCTTGCTGATAGCAAACAGAATAGCTCCTCTCTGGCGATTAAAAGAAAGCGATTTTGCTTTGGAGACGTTTAAATTTCAAGGCATTTTTCTCCCCGTTACCCATTAATTGGAGGTCCTATTCCAGAGCTGATGCTTCAGAATCATGAGTAAATGTGTGTATCATCTGCATGAAGATCAGTAACAGCATAGGCCAAATAGACTTGTATGTGCTCCGCGTTAGTATGAAATGATATGTAACCATTCCCTTTCAATATATATATATTTAGAGAGAGATGCTTTTGGATGCGTCTCTGGTAGAACGAAATTATACTCACACATGGCAGAAAGTTAATGTCCGCTTGCATTCTGCTGGATGCCCGTGAGTGTACAGCCGGCCATATCTCACTGCCCAAGCATCAGGTTACAGGCTTTAAAAATTCCACGTTTTTTATCTAGCAAAAGACAGGGCCACTGGACCATAAGAATACTGAAGACATACTAACGCCTGGTGAAGAGACATTTTTGCCTTCTTTCGAGGTGGGGGGGGTTTCCAACTACACAAACAGTGTTATAAGTTAGGTTAGAATAATGTCTGATAGTCAACTTCTTGAGGGCAACACCCTGCGTCTGCTCGGTCTCACGTTGACTGCTGACCTGAGATGGAACAAATACCTTGAGTCAATTGCTTCTTCCACCGTGAGGAAAGTTGGCTCTCTGTGCCGCGCCAGGAAATTTTTCACCCCGGAATCGATACTTCAAATATATTAATCAACCATTGCATGGAGTATTGCTGCCATATATGGTCTGGGGCACCTTCTGTTTACCTCGGAGTTCTTGAAAAGATCCAGAGACGGATATGTAATATAATTAACCCTGATCTGGCGTCGATTCTGCAGTCACTCTCTCACAGACGTGCCGTCGCCTCTCTCTGTCTTTTCTACAAATACTTTCATGGTAATTGCTCCGATGAGCTGCTTTCACTGGTTCCCAGACTCCATGAATTCAAGCACCCTACGAGGCTGGCATCCCGCTCCCACCCTTACACTGTAGAAACTTTTAAATGTAGCCGTCTCTTCTACTCCAATTCCTTCATACCTCGCACCTCTCGACTGTGGAACACCCTTCCCAATTACTGTTTTCCTGAGATCTATAATCTCCAACTATTCAAATGTAATGTCAATCGACATCCCCAGTTACCTTGATCTACCCACTATCCCTCTCCTCATCCTTTCTTTTATCACTCCTATCTGCTCTCGCTCCAGATCTTCTGCAACCCCCTGCATCCTAGTGGTTTCACGCCTTGCTCGGAGCGTAATTCTTAAAAAAATATGATGTTCATTACACAGTTTGCTTCTTTTTTTCTAAGGAACGATTTGATTCAGTCAAATATTGGTCCCCTGAGAGTTTAGCCGTTGACCTTCCATAGAAGGCCAGCTTCCCTAAACTTTTCGAACGACATCGAGATAACGATGACCTATCCCCAAATTCGCCATTTTTATTTTGAACTTGATAGAGACATTCAAGAATGGTCGTGTAAACGTCGGCGTTAGACTTGGCGAAACGGAAGCTATATTGCTTTTCCGAAAGGAGATCGTGTGACATCAAATTCTGAACGAATTAGGCATTTATTAGAGCCTCGAAAACTTTGCCGAAAAAGGTGTAAGAGACAAATAGGGCTATAATTTTACGCGTCAGAGGTTTCACAGAGTTCTTATAAACAGAATCTACAGAGGTGGACTTCCAAAAAGCTGAAAAGCAGGAAGCGGAACGGCATTTGCTGTAAAGTTTGGAGATAACAAGAACACTTTTCTTTAAGACAAAGGCATGGATCCCGTCACACCCATTTGACTTGTGGGAATCTAATTTAGAAATTGTCTCTGAAAGCAGTGACGGTGTTATGCGCATATCACTCCGCAAAATGTCCTTTCGAGGTGAGAAATCTGGTAGCGGTATTCCAGACGCTCCATCTTATTTGCAGTAGGTACCAATACTTCATATTGATTGAAAAGAGAAAAGACCGAGGGTCTGCTATTGTTCAGCAGACTCGTGAAGAGCCGTCTCTGTATAATCAAATTTGTGACAGACTATTTTTGCCGTTAAACCTGTATAATTTTGCATTTTATGGACACCATTGTAAATAGCATCACTGTAGCTTGTGTCGCGCTATATCAGCAAATAATGAATTTGTTTCTTTGAGAATGACACGCTTGCACTGATTACAAGCAATGATAAAGTGACATATGTTAAAATTAGACCACTCCCTCTGGTATAGACAGAAGAATTGATTCCTCTGGGGTACGGAGGTTGAGTAGGCAGGTGAGAACTAGGGAGAGAATCGTGTCTGCACTTGTTAGTACATTGCTATGAAGAAAGATTTCATGCTGGCTTTCATCCAGGAAGAGACCTCAGTGTCACATTTATAAACAGAATAATCAAAAATATAATTCCAAGTGACATCATGAAGACAGTAACGAAACGAGTCCTAATCAGGGTGTTGAGAATACAATTATATTCTGCTCATAGGAGGTTCTTGACTGATGGGAGAACGAAAATCTATAGATATCTATAGACACTACGGTATAGTCGGAATTGCCAAATGGACGGAGATGCAGAGCACGACATTAGACCGGAGTGTAGGTAAAGTAATGATGAGATCAAGTAGAGATGCCTGCCCTTCAATTTATATGCCATGCATGATACACGCTTAGTAATCATGTATCTTTTGATACATGATTGACGAGGCAGATTTTTTCCGGAGTAGGTTCCATTTCTTTCTGCGATAGACCAGTTGCCATCCAAGGCTATAGAACCAGGTCTGTCATGCTATTTAGCCATAGCTAGGGGGAAAAGAAGAGAATTGATACTTTTCCCAAATATATTAGCACGTAAGTGAATGCAATAGAATATGACTGAAATTCGAACTCGGCTCTCCGAATCCTCAATCCGAGCCGCTATCCATTACTCCACCGTTTGAATAATAGAGAAGCCCAACATCTTGATGCCGGTGAAGTCAGTGGCAATATAGGGATTAAGAGGCCTGGCACCGTTGCTATTGAAGTAGCCGAACACAAAGATATTTGCAGGCGAGTGTAGAGAGTGACTAATCTAATCTACCAGAAAATCTATCTATAACTCAACAATCATAAGAGGGAGGGATAAGATAGAGAAAGAAGAGACAGCTGACTGAGTTTAGTAGCTAAGGTAGGGCGTACATATAAAAACATTCCACTATTTACATTATTCGGTCTATTGTCCTCATCTTTGTCGCCATATTTATTACAACGTTTCGGCCGTTGTACGCTCCGACCTTCTCTAGTTGGTTGCAATGTCAAACTGAACCCTTCAATTCTCTCACTGGGGTAGACTGTTCAATCTCCACATGCCATATCTAATAGATGTCAGTTATCAGTTATCTCCTGCTTAAATCCTTCTCCAAGTTCTTAATCGCCTTAAACAGGTATTGAACTCACACTCGTTGGGTCCTCTCAATAACTAACGCCTTTGTCCTTGAGGACCTGAAAACGCCGGAGCGTACAACGGTCGAAACGTAGTATTAAATATGGCGACAAAGATGAGGAAAACTGTCCGAATTATGTAAATAGGGTACATAATATCTCATCTCAGAAATATAGGCAGATACTTAAGAACATTCTGTAGACTAAAGGATACCATAGATAAGATGGCCATGTATGTGGCCACCAGAGTCCTTCTAAAAGACTTACAAACGGTACCAGATAAATTATTTTCAAAAATGCCAAACATACGTCGTACCAGGTTATGAACAGTTGCCTATGTTCAGATGTTCATCTAAACTTGATTTGGATTTTAGTGGATGTTGTGTTAACCTATCAAATTATAAATTGCTCTTCCTTTCTCAAATAGAGCAACAGAACAAATAAAAAAACAATTTGTAGATTAAATAACACACCAGGTGCAAAACATGTAAACAATTGAAATGAAAAGTGAAGTTAAAAAACGGTCAGATACATCTGTGAGCCTCTGATCAATCCTAGTTCAACATTTCATCTTTGCCTTTAGTTATTTCAAATATTCATTAATCCTTGATTTGGATTTTGGTGGACGGTGTGTTAAACATATCAATTTATAATTTCTTCTTTCTTTCTCAAAAAGAGCAAGAGAAAATATTAAAAAAATGGTCAATATTCTATATTAAATAATATAAAAAAGAAAAATTAAAAAATGTCTGACACATCTGTCAGTTTCTGATCAAATCGTGGTTCCGTATTTCAAGTTAAGCATCATCTTAGAATATCGTCCTAAGTAGCTTATTTTCAAAATGCCTGATGTCCGGCGTACCAAGATAAGAACAGTCTTTTTTTTTACTTATTTCAAATATTAATGTAGTCTTGATTTTGATTTGAGCGGCAGGAGTGTTAACTTATCCTGTCCGTCAAGAAACAATACTTTCCCCTTCCTTTCTCTAAAAGAGCAGAACAAATAAACAATGGACACTTTATATATTAAATAACACAAATTCTAGAAGGTGTTAAATTGAAAGCAATAGAAGTTACATATAAAATTAAAAGTAACAGAACATTCAAAAGTCTCTGATCCATTCCTGATTCAGCATTTCAAGTTAAGTATCATCTTAGAATATTGTCCCAGATAACTTATTTTAAAATGCCTAATGTTTGCGGGACCAGGGGATGAACAGTTGATTATTCTCTTTTATTCATCTCGAATATTTTTCTAACCTTGATCTGAAATATTATGACAGGTGTGTAAAACTACCATGTGTGTCACGAAATAATATCTGCATGTCCCCTTCTTCTGAAAAAACAGTAAAAATCAATCTATCTATCTATCTATCTATCTATCTATCTACGAGTCGGGAGTGGTTTGAAAAATTCACAGGTTGACTAGGAATGAATGATGCTAGCGCTGTGAAATCATGCAAGCATTAATTACAAATGCTTTGTTTATTTCCAGATATACTGATATCTAATTGTTTAAAGATGACTCTTCACCCTGCTGGTAAAAATTATCAACAGATATGGCGTCGTTATTTCTTCGATAATTGTTCCCAGCCAAGTAATTTCTTTTTGTTCAATTCCATGCAATTTAAATCAATTGAATTCTGAAAGTTAAAAAATAAGTTTTACTTGGTGGCTTTCTTCATTTGGTTTGGTTTGGTTCTTGTTTTACGGCATATCCACCTCAATGGGTTATTTAATGCCGACAAACTATTTTTTGCTGGTAATATGTTTTTCTTCAAAATTCTATTTCTTGGAATATTTTTCCTTGAAGAAATTTATAGCTGGTCATATTTCTTTCAAAGACTGTATAGCTGTTTGTATTACTGGTATTTTTTTAAGTATTACTGATAATAATTTTTCCTTCAAAAATTATTGCTGCTAACAATTATGTTTTATTACAAAGTATTTCTGGTATTAAAACCTATTTTTACACAAGTTAGGTTTTGGACTATTTGTCCATAGGTGGGACCCTAACAGGTGCTACCACCCAGGGTGGACCTGGGAACACCAACAATTAAGAGGTGGTTCCACTCTCGTCAAAATCTCCTGATCAGAGGCCTTGCTGTTGGACGTAGTTTATCGTCTTACCCAGGACGCGGATGTAGTTTATCGTCCTACCTAGGACGATTTCTTCATTTAACCTACAATCTTATATCGATTAATAGCATTTTTTCACTCACATTGCATAATTCGGGGGGAGCTGAAATTTTTCGAATGCATTATAAAAAAAAAATAAAAGCTCAGTAAATATAAAAATCAAAGCTAATCTTGAACAAAGATGGCAACAGCGAACGACCTACTAATTTATCTAGATGAATGTAAGTCAACACTGAGAACATACGCTACAGGGAAAGACAAATGACTTATGCTTAAAAAATATTACAGATATGTTTCAAATTTAGTTAATTTGAATGTGTATTATAAAAAATAAATAAAATTTAAATTGTTGCACTCTGTTAAAAATAAATTTACTCGAAATACATTTTTGTCTACATGTATATATAAAAAAAAATTGTTCGGTTAAGAGAACAAGATGGCTGACGATAAAGAAATTTCGTTGCAGACATAAATAAAAGAAACGAGAGAGAAAAGCGAACAGAATAGCGTTTGTGTGATCAGAAAATTAAGTTACGGTAAATCGGGGCTTTTTGTTTTGACATTTGCAAAGTGCTTTCACGTCTTTATAGACCACGTACTGGTCAAAGGAATGTTGTTGTGTCGTCTGCAATTATTGAGTCGTAACAGATGCTGAGAAGGATAAAGGGAAAATGGCGACGGTTATATTTTTCGCTTCTTCCGTTTATTTTGAATTGTTTGAAGGCTGATAGAAATTGATGATAATATAGCTCTATGTGTGCATGAGTATATATTTTACAAATATGTACTCGCAGAATCAATGAAACCTGGTCGCACCCACACCTACATCCAGACCCACACACTCTCAAAGCAATACATCGTATTGTCAAGAATGTTTTGTCTATGGAATTTAGTTTGAAATCCAACAAAATTTCTTTGAGGATTTTTTTCTTTAACGTTCCACGGTTTGGATTATTTTTTTGGTTTCCTGGGTTAATTTGAACAGAAATATCTACTGGTAAATTAACGCATTCAGCTTTCATACACCATTTTTAATATAAATAACACAAATCATCGAGAGACATTTATCATTATATTAAGGACTTAAGTACATAATTATGCATACAGACACAGACACGCAGACAGACAGGCAGACAGAGACACACATTCACACGTATATATATATATATATATATATATATATATATATATATATATATATATATATATATATATATAAGGGAACATTGAGTCAGCACTCCAGACGTGACAGGCTGTTTCACGTTAGACGCAGTCGTCAGGCGGCCTGACGATTGCGTCCTTCATGAAACAGCCTGTCACCTCTGACCGTTGATTCCAACAATGTTTACTTTTATATTTTTTTTATATACGCTCTATCTTTTATATTGAGCACTTTATCCCATATATATAGCTGGATTCGATTAACTGAAAATAACATCAATAAGACACTAAGTGACAAATATTAAATACTAAATAAATACTAAAGCATAAAGTAAATGTCCTCTCCAGCAGAGAAACCATCTGTAATGTCCAAGTTACGCATCTGAATATTCTTAATATAATATCATATTAACAAGGTGAAAGGAATGACTAGAACAACCAAGACTTTAGAAGTATTATCGCTTTGCATAGTTAATATAGTTATGCCTCTTGATTCCTTGGGGATCATAGTGCCGCACTAACAAATGGCAACGGACGTGGTTCCGGGCGATCCTCTCCATCTCGGCCCTTGTTATTCCGGCTGCCTTCACTTTTGCCTCTAATATTCTGCGCCAAGTGTGTTCTCGTCGAAACCACTTTCGCTTCCATTGTGGATTGCCGTCAATGGCCTTCCTGTGACGCACGAAGCAGGCTTACGGAGTGTTTGGCCGATCCCTTCCCATTTACGTTTTTTGATTTCAATCTCGATTGGGGCTTTTCTGGCCCTGTCTCACAGTTGGTCGTTGGAGACACCTTGCGGCCAATTGATATTGAAGATATTCCTGAGACATCAATTGCTAATTATCTAAAGTTTGTGAGTGTTGATCTTGGTTACCCCCCAGGTTTCAAGCCGGAAATGAAGACCGACTTAACGTTGATGTTGAAGATCCCTATCTCGCCTTGCAAGTGGTGAAATTATTAAATAAAAACTTTGGGGTCAACACCGAAAAGGAATTAAGAATAAAGCATATAAATATGTCTACATCATCGACATTTATGCAATGGGAACAAACAAGAACGTACATTGAACAAATTTTTAAAAAAAGGGTGACTTCTATAATAGGGAACCACTACATTCCAGTCGCTTCAGATTCTTTTAACTATGGAGAAACTATTCTCAACCAATGTGCTGTCAGGTGGCCCTCACTGATTCCTTGGAATATAATTAAAATGTTTCTCTCAGATGCCTACTCATGTAAACGGTAGCCATCATCTAAATCTAATTAGGTCGACTATAATGTCGGAGCAATTCTTCATCGTGTCAGAGGAAATAAAAACCTCCAACAAAAACGTAACTGACTGCGCATGTCTTATCTCAACGCGTAAAGATGGAAAAAAATGTGATGTTTTACAAGCAAACAACACACCGAATTCCTCCTTAAAATATAAATTATGATGACTGACCAACTGATCCACTGATACCTTATAGAGGATATGGGAGGTTATGCAGTAGTCGTAGATATAATAGTGCAAATTTCATTTTCATTAGTAACAAGTATTAGACGAAGTAGATGTCATTAAAAAGACTTAGTCTTAACTATGAGAGAACAAAAACAGGAATTAGTTGATTTTTTTTTTTTTTAATAATTTCACCCCTAGCAAAGCGGGTATGTCACTAGTACGCAGGGGAGATTACAGGGAGTGGAAGTGAGAAAAATATCGGAGTATAGAGAAGATTGAGTCAGAGAGAAAAGATAAACGGAATTCAAGAAGATAAAAGATGGCGATTGACATTGCAGTTTAATTTTGGGGGGATTTTTTTTTTATCAGGGCAGCACGTAACCGGAAGGAATGTTCACATGCGGGAATTGCATGAAATGAAACTGCTGGAGTAGAAGCTGCGGATACATTTAGATATTTCAACAGTAAACTTGTGGGACCTAGATGCCAATCTAGTAACACACTTCAATTCATGTAGTGGAGGTGCCAGTGATAAAAGCTTTACATTGAAGAGGATAGTGGCGAAAACAAAAGCTCGGTTATAAGTATACCGAGAAGAGAATGCAGAAGATGTAGGGATGTTAAACATTTAATTTCTTTTTTAAATTTTACGATGTCCTATGTTACTCCACGTACAGCTTAAACTACGTTATTCCTTTAAATAACGTTTTTTGTTTCTTCTCGCTTTTTTTTTTTTTTTTAATCTTTGGTGGATCAAGTAATGCGTGTTTCGGTCTTTTAACTTCTAAAAGTGGAAAATAATTCTTATTTAAAATTTAGTAAATTTCTCCAGTTGAATATAAAGATTTTAGCATGGGGATGTTTATAGTAAAAGACTTGTGCAAAAAGAAAAAAACATGAATTATTGATTCAGGACGATGATAACTATAATATTTAATTATGCACTCTCCAAGAAAGTAAAATCAAAGAAATATTAACATTGAACGGTAATTTCTTTGGAAGCAGAAATTAATTATTATGGAATTATTACAGAAATGGTCTTTTCATCGATATCAAACGGAGGAATAACATCCAAAGACAGTGGAAAGTCATATATAGATTATTAGTTTTGCATCTCAAGACAAATTGAATACGTTCAGATTGAAGATATAAATCATAAAATATATACAAAAAAAAATAATATTAAGTGATATGAATGCCTCGACCAACCATGGTACACTCATCGTACAACGACATCAAAAGAACCGTTAGTAAAATTTCATCATTTCCCGTGAAAAAAAAATCTTTGATAAGAAGAGAAAACCTGCAGGGTTAAAGAGGACATAGATATATTTACAAAGTGCTGAAGAATGAGAAGTAATACTGATTTGCATTGTCAAAACAGCTTTGCTGATAAGATTTGTAAATATCTGCAATTATAGATGTATTAAGAAATGACAAATGTGATTTTAAACTGGACTCAGTATACACTTACTATATATTTCGAATTAATGAATTGATTCTATATTAATAAAAAAATGTATTCATAAACTTAAATTATGGTCAGATCCCTTACGTTGGACGATTAATTCTTGTATTGGTGACTAAAAGATCGTTTTGGCTTCATATATTTTTATTTAATTCCTAGAAGTCACAATTAAGCTAATTGATGTAATGGAATAATCTGCCACTCCCATGATTGGCGGCACTATAGGTGGTAACCATAAATAAGTATCCGTTAGTACAGCGGACTTTTCCCAGCTGCTATAGTCGAACTCTCTGCATTTGGGCAGGGAGGAACCAGGACGAGGCTATGCCGAAGGGCAGAGTTTCGTTCGCGGAGGTAGACGGACCCGATCACGTTTATGCGGGGTCTCCGGGGATTATTTGGCCGGGCCTCCGAACTCGGGAACCGCACTTTAAATTCGACCTTGTGCCACATGTGACTGCGTGGGGCAGTTGGTAAATAGCGTCGTGCTGGGATCTGCGAGACTAGGTGCCTTCTGATAGCAGCACGCACACAACTGTACTGACTTGCAACGACCGTGGGCATAAAAATTATTCCTTGCTTGTTGTACTGGTTCCTACAATAAACCTGTTACTATTTAACCACCGTGTTTGTCCATTCCATATTCCTATTCGCACGGAATATAACACGTATCTTACTGTTGTCAGTATTCTGTTTTTGATTAATTAATTATGTTTTTGGTTTAGAATTAAAACAATTTATATTAAGTTTGATTAAATTCCTTTCGAATATAGTTGTGATTGAGTTCATCTGTAAGGATTAACTGAATATTTTTACTGAGATATTATTTTTCACTTTTCATACATTTCATGACAATTTTAGAGGATTTTAAAAAATTATCACTCCATTTCTATCCGTCAGGCAAAGATTTTCACATACAACGATATATATATATATATATATATATATATATATATATATATATATATTTCCTCTTTGGTCTGCTCATCTCGCATAGTGGTTATGGTTATATTGTAGCAGCAGCAAGAAAAGTGGCGCAATCAAGCATGAACTTGTATCACGTGACCCCAATAGTACCAACTAAAAGCCCGCATGAGCAGAAAGCAGTGTGACGCAAACAAATATGTTATGATGAAAGTACTTATCTTTTTGCTGAAAGTACTTATCTTTTTTGAGTTACCCTCGTAGATATATAGATAGATAGATAGATTTCGACAGTGTTTAATCTATCTGCCTGTCAATCTGTCTAACTAGTTAACTATATCTATCTATTTATCTATCTATCTATGTCTGTTGACGCCGATCTCATTCTGTTCATATACAGAGTGTGATTGGTACCTTCGAAAATAAAACGAAAATAATACCTACATCTCACTTTAACGAATATATTCACCAAAAATATACAAAAATATCTTGAAATACGTAAAAGTTCATTGATTCTATAAAATCGTCATTACCTACAACCACAGCCACCAGAAAACTTCGGAATCTCCTGAAACTCATCTGGATGATCAACGTGTTTAAGCTGCCATAATCGTTGCCTTCATTTCATCTTTGCGGTTACATGGAGTTTCTTGGTTTCTCGCTAAATGCGCACCAGGGGAGTAAGAGGTGATGGAGTTGCAGAGATTGTCCAACAGCAATGACTGGGTTCTCCTGCTTGTGTTGCCAGATATGTGGTTTCCCAGCAGCTCCTGACTTGACACAGGTCAGCTGAACCTCCACAAGTATCTTCATGTAGGCCTCTGTGTTGAGTCTGAAGCCCATCACGAAAAGAATTCGGGGACACTTATCGGAACTATCAGAGTGAGTATTCTCAGTTGCCATCCCTTGGTAATCATCATTAGACCTCTCCAACTCTTTCTGAATCCTCGGCACTGTCCTCAGATTGACATCAAAACACACTGAAATGTTCGTATCGAATGACAAACACTACAGCATGCCGTTTCCAAATTTCGAGCGCAGTGATTTGGGTCATGGCAAACTTTCATGCAGACAGTGCCAAACTAAACATACTGTACTATAAAAAATACAAAAAAATACGCATAAACGATACTAAAAAGGTAAAACGGCGACAATTTATTCATCGCACCTTGTGCATTTCATTCACTTCATATCTATCTATCTATCTATCTATCTATCTATCTATCTATCCTTGTCATTGTCGTTTTTGTTGAATATATATATATATATATATATATATATATATATATATATATATATATATATATATATATATATATATATATTGAGCAATTTATCCCATAAATATAGCACACCTTAAGAGTATATTTCTTCATATATATGTGTGTGTGCGTGAGTGTGTGTGTTTGTGTATGTGTGTAACAGTTATTGTGTGAAAAAATTTTATATGTATATATAAATACACAGACACACACAGACATATATATATATATATATATATATATATATATATATATATATATATATATATATGTACGAATGTATGTTTATATTTACATACATAAATATATGTGTGTGTATGTGTGTGTCTGTGTGCTTAAAGGCTATAAAAGAAAAGGAACGCTGGACACCACCGTTATTTAGATAAATTTAAGCTCCGAATACTTAGAAAGTGAAAAACCATTCAAGAAAGGCGGGAAAGATTAAGGAATGGTCGTCTTGTCATCTTCAATATCCGACGATCGGCTAAATAAGTATTTGGGACTTTGCCATTTTCAGTAGACGAAGCGTTCTTTTCTATTGATTTACCAACTTCTCGGCGAGAAACCTTTTGGCTAGGTGCGCTTAGATGTAGCAAAGGAGAAAAAAAAAGAAATAAAACTTACTGGCTTACCTTATGTTCATCATACAGCTTTTATGCGTTTTCTATGTACTCTTCTTACATTATGAGACAAAATTGTAAAGAGTTAATAGTTGCACCTGAGATGTGTTCACTTGGAGGTTTTTATTTCGCCAGCACATGAAAAAATATAGTCGAGTGTTACTCATCGCGCGTTCTTAATTAACACACTGCGCAATGAACATCGTCTTTCATTTTTCTATTAATCCAAATCATTATTAGTTATATTTTTATCCCTTCCGTTTATTTTGATGCATGATTTTATTAATATAAATACATAGCTTTCTTATTCAGTTGTCGTGGCGTCAAATGTTATTAGTCGCCTAATCTGAAGTTTATCATCATGTCTAAAAACAGCATATATCCGAACGATTGCAATTATAATTAAATTATATCTGAATATATTACACCCACAAAACAATTTCAAAATAAAAATTAACTAAATATTTTGACCGTTAAAAACATATCTGTTTTTAAATAACAAACAATGTGAGCTTATTTGAGGCTATAAATAGGGACGACATTTTTTTATACTCTCTACGCAAAGCAAACGACCACAATACACCGTATGTAAGATTCTTCAACACGTTCAGCTTATATTATTTCAATTATTCGGACTATTGGCCTCATCTTTGTCGCCATATTTGTCGCCATATTTATTACAACGTTTCGGCAGTTGTACGCTCCGGCCTTTTTCAGGTGGTTGGAAATCATACTCAAGGAAACATGGCACAGTGGATAAAGGCGTTAGTTAGATCCAATGACAGGACACAAAGAGTTCGAGTTCAATACCCGGCTAAGGCAGTAGAGAATTTTCAGGGGGAAATTAACAGGAGATAACTGATAACTGTCATTCATAAAACATGGCACGAGGAACTAGAAAAGTCTACCCCAGTGAGCGAAATAAAACGTTCAGTTCGACATTCCAAACACCTGAAGAAGGCCAGAGCCTACAAAGGCCGAAACGTTGTAATAAATATGGCAACAAAGATGAGGACAATAGTCCTAATAATGTAAATAATGTACATAAGACCTCATCTCAGAAATATAGACAGAAAGACCTAAACGTTGTAATACATATGGCGACAAAGGTGAAGACAATAGTCCGAATAATGAAAATAATGTACATAATACCTCATCTCAGAAATATAGACAGATACTGAAAGGCCGAAACGTTGTAATAAATATGGCGACAAAGATGAGGACAATAGTCCGAATAATGCAAATAGTGTACATAATACCTCGTCTCAGAAATATAGACAGATAATGAAAGGCCGAAACGTTGTAATAAATATGGCAACACAGATGAGGACAATAGTCCGAATAATGTAAATAGTGTACATAATACCTCATCTCGGAAATATAGACAGATACTGAAAGGCCGAAACGTTGTAATAAATATGGCAACAAAGATGAGGACAATCGTCCGAATAATGTAAATAGTGTACATAATACCTCATCTCAGAAATATAGACAGATACTGAAAGGCCGAAACGTTGTAATAAATCTGGCGACAAAGATGAGGACAATAGTCCGAAAATGTAAATAATATACATACCTCATCTCAGAAATATAGACAGGTATGTTGATCCACGTGGTAAGAAATTGCTTGTTTGAAATAACGGTCACTCACTCATAGGCAGAACATACTTCATTGTATGTAAAACATTTTACCATTGGTATTCATTAAAAGAACCCATAGAATTCACTTGTATAGCATTCACTTGCGAAAGGAACTGTTGATAAGCACTCCGCTTTCGATCAGTTTCTCTACAGACACTTAAAAATTTCTTAATACTTCAAATCAATTACCCACACATTGTAACTTTGTTTGATATTCATGTATATTTGCTTTTATTTGTTACAGAATACTTAGATATTTTTGTGTTATTCCTCTCCAAATGTTAAAAGCTGGAGAAGAGAGAAAAAAACACAATAATAACATACAATGAAAACATCCCCCAGAAAAAAGTACCCTGGTCTCATAAACCACTTTGAATCACATTTCATTCCTGACCATACTAAACTTAAGATGCCTGCAGAAATGGAACCCACACACCAATATTCTTCCAATCCTTAAAAAGCCCGTCTCCAAATATAAACAATAGTGAACCGACTTATATAGAAAGTAAGAAAGTCGTTAAAAATAAACACTTATAAAGTATCACTAAACATTAAAGATGACCCCTTGAAAATAGGTTAATTTCTACCTGAAGTCAATAACAATTATCTTCGTGTTATTAAAGAAATATGGAATCTGAAACGCATCACAAAAGATGGGACTTGTCAAGCATTCATGCATTATACAAAGAGAAATCTAGTTACACACATGGTGATTACGAATATATGGCAGCTCAAAAAAATCACCGATCGCTCAGCTAAGAAAAGGGCCGCTTCACATATTAAGAGATATCTCAATTGGATGCATTATGTTGAAAGTATTAATGAAAATTATCGGCTCGGATTGAGGAATCGGAGATCCGAGTTCGAATTCCAGTCGTATCCATTACTTTCACTTACGTGCTAATACCCTTGGGATAGGTATGAATCCTCCACTTCTTCCCCCAGCTACGGTAAATTGCAGGACAGATCGGGTTCTATAGCCTTTGATGGCAACTGGTCTTCCGCAGAAAGAAATGGCAACCTACTGCGGGAAAAAATCTACCTCGTCAGTCATGTATCGAAAGATACATGATCGCATAAGCGTGTGTTACACATGGCGCATAACTGACTGATATTAACTACGTTCGTTTTATAAATGTCAACTACACACGACAGAATTTTTTTTTGGTTTTAGTAAAGGAAACAATTAACATTCTGAAATTCTAAAACTGATAATAATACATCCCATCATATCATCTCCAAAACAAACTCAAAAGTAAGTCCTTGATAAATCTTATTAGATATTACGAAGAAAATCACACAATTTTTAATATGTTCCATATGAAAATTATTCTATATATATATATATATATATATATATATATATATATATATATATATATAATGAAAAGCTTAAACACTAATATTCCATGGGCATAATTTATTTCATTGGAATCGTAAATACGATCCAAATCATCAGACCTACAAATTCAAAAAAAAAAAACAAATCCGGAAATAAAAACAGAATTTAGAGAGAGTGTAAGTATGAGGGGTAACATACTAGAGAAGGAGAGAGATTAAACCTTAACAGAGAGAATTTTAGGAGAGGTGAGTGGAAAGGGTTTAAGTAAGAGAAATATGAATATTGTCGGATGTCTAATGCATAAAGATACATTTCGTGGTGACATAGACACACACCATAGACGATCTAATGTTGAAGATCAGAATAAGAGGGAGGTAAAGACGAAGTGGGAGAGAGAGATGGGGCCGGGGAAACTAAAACTGAAGGCCATTTGCTGAAAGGCCCATTGTGTAATTGAGAAAATTTGACAAAATTAATATCGACTACAGGTTACAAATCAAATATAAACATATAAAAAATAAATATAACGATTATCTAATCTAGCAAGGACCTATATTTCTATGTTCAAACACACAAGCGAATACACACATACACAATAACATATACACGTATATACATGCACATAGGCGTGTATCCACATATGTTTCATCTAGCAGATTTGGATGAGTTGAAAACGAAGTGAAATTTCAGGGGTCCTACATGAGACTTCCCTTTTAATACACCGAGATATTTATAAATAGGAATATTTGCCGTTAGAATTTTATATGTAGAATCTGATTTTAATAAACTTTATTGACAGATTTGTAAAATATTTTCAATATATTAAACTCAACTAAAATTACTTTCCTTTTTGAGGAAGCAATTTTAATGAGGAAAACAGAATTCAAACTAAACATTCCTTAAATATATCACAACAGGTGAATGCAAAATGCCAGTGTTTGATAAGAATAAAAATACGCATCTAACCACAAAAGCAGAGATGCATAAAAAAATGGGTTGTTGTTGTGATTGGCGGGATCTCTGAGGTATTTTTTATATACCTTTCTCAAGACGGTCTAAAGCGTGTCGGATCTATCGAGGGTTTGCCCTGCCAAGGAGGACACATATCTGAATCCTCTAGAAGTGTGCCTATTCTTTTCTAATAACATTCCCCGAATATTTAGGCTGTCCTTTTTCTTTTTATGTGCCATGTCCTTTCATGACGTACGCGATTATGACTCTCCACCTCCCTCTATCTCTTGCAGGTCTGAGCAAGCTCCTTTCCTCTGCATCGGTTGATGAAAAAAAATATGTTTAGTAAGTAGACGGCGCATGTCCTCAAATAAGTTCATCCACTATAAAATCTATTAAGTAATAAAATCTGTCGAATTGATATATAAATTCTTTAG